TCTCCGTCTCCGTCTCCGTCTCAGTCACCGAGTAATTCTCATTCTCATTCTTGAGCGGTTGATACGGCCCCACATTCTCCGCTTAGACTTGGACTTGGACTTGGACTTGGACTGAACCCGATGCGGCCGTAAACCATAAACGGCGGGCCTTGACCTTGACATCCGCTGTCAGTCCGTCACTCACTGTCAGTCAAACCTTGAAGCATTTGGCATCCATCCATATCACCCCTGGGTAGACACACGACAGAATAACAAAAGTCACTGCAAATCGGATAGCAAATCTTCAGAAACAAATAGCTACCTAGTTAGCCAGTATATATTTGTTGTTACATTGCAGCATGGATGATTCCCCGGCTATTTATGGAGACTTCCAACCATCCCCAAAGCCATCAGTTAACCACCAGGAACGTGTTTGAGCGTTGCTACAGTAGACAAAACATTGACAAGACAAAAACCCATGGAATCCATTTGGAGGTGAGACACTGTTGAATATGGTTACTATGACTGGTATTGCAGTAAAATAACGTATGCAAAAACCAATGGCAACTTAAATCCTCTGGGCTCCGTCATTCATTCTGCTTCACATGTACATAGAGCAATCGCACTGACGCCAATGCCCGTCATGGCCGGAAGTATTTCCTCGAAGCTGGCCAACATACAACAAAAATAAGCTGGTGTAGTAGTAATGTCAATTGGTTGGACCAATGTGAAATCGGCTGAGGCCACAGCTGATTAGTTTCAGCCCTCCAAGAGACAGAATGTTTGTGTAGGACAGCAGAGCAGCGTAAGCTTAGGAAGACTGTTTCGCTTTCAAAATGTGTACCATTGAATAGGTAGCATCGACATGTGACACTTGATGCTGTTTATGTTCATAACCAGCAGCTCAATTGCCATGAGATAAACAACCTGTCCCTCCCCCGCAACAGCCGGTAGCAGGGGAAAAGACGAAGAAAACCACAACACACCGGCACTTGACGTGGATGCAAGAGCTGTAGTCTTGCAACCCTCGAGGACTAAGAAGCACTCGTCAGTCATGGCGTTCTCTGAAGCGGTATTGGTCACGGTACGGAACAAGCTATCCAAGTAAGCACTCGATCGAATGATCAGGCTACTGTACTCTACTGTACTCTACTGTACTCTACTGTAGGTACCAAGGTACTGTAACAAGCGAGCCTCTGTCGGGTTGTTGCCCCGGAGCTCAAGACGAGCATGATCGAATCAAAATAAAGAGAAAAGACAGCGGTGAATAACAACAACGTGACTCATTTAACAACAAGAGTTGCTGAGCACCCGATAAACATGCCATGACTTGGTAATTTAATGCACTCTTTGCTATATCATTTATTATGCTGTTCCCCGGGTACGCAGACGGATAGACAGGCAGCCCTTGTCGGTGGGTGGATGGATGGATGGGGATGACTTGAGACTCGCAACCCCCAATCCATAACTCACTGCAACACTGGAATAACCTGGCAACCATGCAGAAAGTAATCACACAAAGCGAGAGATATTGTGTTGATACAGACACATGTACAGGCACAGGTACAACTATGAGAAACGCTATCGTCGACTGCTCCAATGGATCGACTTGTGGATACAACATTTTACCTTGGCAGTTGATGTACCCGAGATATTATTTCAATGCTGTCATGCGGTGAAAATAAAGTCAAAGATCTAAGATCACAGACCAACAAGCGAAGGCTTGGCAAACAATGACAAACCATGAGCAGAAGACTGACTGTATGTACCTGCGAGCTGTAGCTGTACAGTAACAGTAACAGTAACAGTAGATTGAATTGCTTCATTCAGCCCGGCCCGTTTCCGCGACGCCCGCTGTGACCTCTATACTGTAGGCTTAATGACACTGATCAACGAGGCACAGGATGCAACTTACGTACATCAATAACAACAATCATGTCGCTTTAGACTACAACACCTGCATCCCCGTCGTCTGCGTCTGCTTCTGCATTTGCGTCTGCATCTTCGCCTGCGCCCCCTCAGGTCGGGTGAGACAGTTGCATCTTGCAAGTCAGTCAGCACCGATTGGTTGATGAGACTTGGGATGCGACCACAGTAGGTCGAGATCATCAGTTTTATGTACAGTATGTGCGCAGATTCAGTACGGTAACGCTCCATAGCCTGCTAGTTTACTTACTACAGTAGGTGGGTGTTTGTGTGTTGCAGCCTCAGAGAAGCACCTGATGGACGAGAGTTTTCCTTTCTCACTTCACCTCTTCCATCTACTCGACATTCGGTTGGACAAATGTTGGGATGGGTTGAGGATAGAATCTCGATCTAGGTACGTTCCTCAAGTAGACATTCCTACGGACAATCAGATAACTTAGCATGGCACGTGGGTGAGAGGATCAATGCCTTTTTTCAGTCTTTCGGACTTTTCAGGGATCTATCTCAATCATGCCGCTTTTCTTTTCTGACAGGCTTATTATTAATTGGACATTGGATAAAAAAGTATTGCACAGTATTGAATCCGAGTGTTTACGGGGTCGGGGTCTCTTTCAGGGACGGGAGTGAGATAAGAATTCTTGAAACAAACCTTCCATTAGGTTCAAGTAGGTACCTACATAGCAAGATACCTAACAAACAACTCCCGTCGGATGCCAATTGCAACGGAGTGAGTATTCCTGTAGGTGGTAGAAATGTCTCGAGCTCATAATAGACACATGAGACTAAACCCGAATCTCAATTCTGTCATGACTCGTCTCTTGTCTCCAAGGGTATGGTACGAATTCGTTTCTCTTTTCACAACAAGATGGAATTGTGCATTCTTTTTCTCCAACCCCTGACGGTAAGGTAAAAAGTGATTCTGGGCACGCTACTAATACCTACCGTACTTTGTACCGAGGAGGGAGGGGCTTCTGGTGACGTGAACATCCATGGTTCCATCCCATGGATCTTTGGCTGAAACATCGGACAATGGAAAATCACTCGCGTCGTGCATAATCCGAAGTTTGGCGAACAAAGCGACCTAACGATATTGCACAGATCTAGTCTGGACAATGGGGGCTAAAATATCCATTCCTCGACCGATATCAACAGGGTTCAGTAACAGCACAGCACATAGCAATGGACTTGAAGCTGGATTGGATGGATAAGAAGCATTGAATGGAAAGCGGGCACCAACTGTGGGCTCTAGGGGGGGCTCTAACTTGGGTGGCTGCCAGCCCGCACGTAGCTTACATCGGGGGACCCTTCAGGCTCTTCCTAGTAGCTACAGATACAGAGAGCGCTGTACGGGCTGTAGGCTGTAGACTGTAAAAAAAATAAAAAAGATACCTATACCCGCAATGCTGCAGCTTAGCAGGGCTAGGAGCTTGATTCCCGGAGATGGTGGGTGGTGATTGGTTTAGCAGCGCCTTCCCCCGCTTATTGTATCATGAGAGGAACGCGCCTTCACGATCCATGGTCTAAGGAGCCGTGGACCAAACTTTGTCTTTCTTCCCCTTCGAGGCTTAACGGCGATTCTTGTTCAATTTCAAGCCAACCTTTCAAGGTCAAGAGCAATTACTGTCCCAGATTAGACAACTCTAATCCAAGTATTCATCAATCGTTCTCCCAATTCCATTCGATACTCTTCGCCCTGCCTCGCCTCGCCCGGACAAAGCAGACCAGGTACCCACGATCACGGTAAGGCACGGCACGGTACAGTACCATACCATCACGGTTGGCCTGTCCTCGGCTGCACCTCAAGTCTCGACAAACTCATCCCTAGGCTTCCAGGCTTTAGGGCCGTCTAATCTCGACTCTCTTTCACGGCCTATACCTACCTACGACTTGCACAGCGTCAGCCCGAGATCCTACTCGCTGCCGAACCCTCAGTCATGTCTCCGAGTCTCGCGGGTCTCTAGTTCTGGCGCCCTTGCCAGACCCGAGTCTCCCCACTTGTGCTTTTGCTGGAGTCTCAGCTACCATCCTGCCGAGCACCGGCCCAATATATCACCTTCGACGACATTTACGAAATATCCATTCACTTCACCCGTCTCTGGTCTGAGCGGCTCACATCTTCGAGATACCATGGACTCTCCGTCCGGCGCCACATTGGCGCCCCCAGCAGTTGCCTCTTTGAGGGCACAGCAAACAACTGCCATGGAGAGGTCCTTGAGTCAGGACATTCGAGAGGAACGTGAGGAGCTTCGCGAAGCCGCCGAACAGACTCTCAATACAATCGTCGACCTCAACCTCGATGGAACCATTAAATGGGTCAGCCCCTCCTGGACAGACGTGGTGGGCACCCAATTCGAGACTGTCAACGGCCTCCCTATTTCAGACTTGATAGTCAGCGATAACAAGAACGTCTTTACCGAAGTTGTCGAATCCATGAAGAAGGATGATTCTCGAAGTCATCGAGTTCGATTCACTGTCCAACTTGGGCCCCTCTCGAAACTATTACCTATTGTCGATCTTGAACAAGACCCCGAAAACAAGCCATCACATGTCGTGGACCTCGAAGCCCAAGGAATCATGGTTTATGACAGTGTCTCGGGTGGTGAGAGCCATGTAAGAGTCCTGAACCTTGGCCATGTCTACAGTACTGACACTCTTCACAGACAATGTGGATGATTCGTCCGTGGATTGCTCCACGAGAGATCAAGATCGATTTGCCCAACGTCATTGTCGATTCTCTAGGCTCTGGCGCCGAGGTTTTGGCAAGCTATCTGACCCAACTCGCTGAAAGCGGGCTCGACGAACCCGAACAACTTGAACCTCCACCACCCGTCCTCTGCCGGATTTGCGAGCGTCAAATTCCCCGATGGTGGTTTGAGAAGCATACTGAATTGTGCCTGCAAGAACATCGGGCTGAGATGGATGTTCAAATGGCTCAAGAAAACTTGACTGAACATCGCCACTCGATTGTTAGGGTCCTCGATGCCTTGGAGGCTCGAAAGAGTCGATCTCTAGCTGGCGACCAAACTCCTGTCCCCGTTGCCGAGTACAAGGGCTTGCCCATTGGACCGCCGCCGTCGACTCAGTCATCCCCCGGCAGCTCATTGCCTCGATCGAGGGAACGTTCTGGAGGACTTGGGCATACTAGGGCGCGCTCGTTCGCTATTCGTCGACCACAAGCTCGAATCGTGGAGTTGCTGATGGATCTTTGCGACACTGCTATCGAAGTCAGTACTCCTGCTATCAAGGAGTCTACAACACAACAAAACAACGGAGAATTCAGAACGCAATCACCGCAGTCCGAATCACGAATATCACAGGTTCTACAGTGGCAATCGCCGAGTACAAACACCCTTGAACAAGAACAAGGCCTGGCTTTACTATGTGCTGATACGGAGAAGGTTGCCAGGACCAAAGTCGATGCAGTTTTTCGTCACAGAAAGATCATAGAATATGCCGAACGTATTCGTATCGAGCTCGCATGTCTTGTTCAAGACTGTATTGACGATGCTCTGAGGAAGGCAGCTCGCATAGCCAATGGCGAGCTTACTGACTCGACAGAAGAAGAAAGACTGAACTCCGAGTATGAACAGTGCGAATCATGCGACGAGGCTATTGGAGCTGACGAAGATGTTCCCCCGGAACCGCTGTTGCCAGAGCCTCAGCAAGTTGAGCAACGTGACAGCGAAAGCTTTACGGAGCCTCTTAATAGCCCATCCGTCTTGGCCACAGCTCTCCGTCAGATGAACCTGTCCGAGAACCGAGATCGGTCACGACCAACCTCCTTCGTGGCTTCTACTAGATCTAGCAGTCCAAAAGAGTGCCCGACACCCCGATCGCACTTTGGTGGGCAGAGCAACTTGGGAATCCAAGCACGCGACACACGTAGAGATTCCATCTATATGGAAGGTGACTTTATGGACAGCGAAGGCAGCTTCCGGTCTTCTTCAGTTGCATCTCGCAATGCTCCAAGGACCGAGTCGCCTATTTCAGAGTTTGGAGATCTCCGACGTGCTGCTAGTACAAGGAGACGTCACCGAAGAAGTCTTATTTTGCCTGGCGCTTCATCACCTCACCGCCAGGAGTCGCCTTCCCGACCAGGACAGCCATCATCTCCCCTACGAATCAAAGCCAGAGGGTTTCCGATGCCACAAGAGGGTGTCATTTCGCCAGAGGCATCTCCTATGCTTCCCGGGAGTGATTTTAGCTCGCCTGCTGCACATAGCCACAGGCACCACCGTCGACAGTCGTCGGCCGCCATTTCTGACTTTGTCATGAAGCCGCCTCCATCCCCTCGTCTGGGGGGTAACCAAGCTCCTCCACAACCCCGACCAACCCAGCCGTCGATCAAAGATTTCGAGATTATCAAGCCTATCAGCAAAGGCGCGTTTGGCAGCGTTTATCTGTCAAAGAAAAAGTCCACCGGAGAGTACTTTGCAATCAAAGTGCTCAAAAAAGCTGATATGGTAGCCAAGAACCAAGTTGGCAACGTCAAGGCAGAGCGCGCCATCATGATGTGGCAAGGAGAAAGTGATTTTGTCGCCAAGCTCTACTGGACATTTTCGAGTAAAGACTACCTCTATCTGGTTATGGAATACCTGAACGGCGGTGACTGCGCCTCCCTCATCAAGGTTCTTGGAGGACTTCCTGAGGAATGGGTAAAGAAGTATCTTGGTGAGGTTGTCTTAGGTGTTGAGCATCTTCACAGCCGCGGCATTATTCATCGTGACTTAAAGCCTGATAATCTTCTTATTGACCAGAAGGGTCACTTGAAGCTCACGGATTTTGGTCTTTCTCGGTTGGGTTTGGTTGGTCGACAGAAGCGCGCATTGAACAGCGAGGTTACAGACGGAACGCCAGATTTACTCAAGCAAGGCCCCTTTGCTCGGTCTGCATCTATTGCTTCTTCGAGATCAGCCTCACTTGATCTGCATGGCCATACTCAGTCACCTAGCCAGACTCCTCAAATGACTCCTGAGGTCGGCAGCTTAGCTCAGCCATCTTATTTCAGCCTCGGCCAGGAACCTCGGCGGGTGTCAGGCACCCATCGAAGCGATAGCGGCGGTAGCGAAACATTGGCTCGGATGGTGACGAACTTTTCCTTGAACGATGTTGAGACGGCGTCTCAAGCTAACAGTATCAAGTCGCCGTTGGACGAGGACGCAATTGCCCAGGGCTCACCAGACTTGCCCATGAGCGTCAGCTCAAGGATTAGTATGGACAGCCATGCTAGAAGCTCTCTACCACTTTCCAATATGATGCCTCCACCAATGGCTCTGTTTAACCCGGAGGATACAAACCGACGTTTTGTAGGTACTCCCGACTACCTGGCTCCTGAAACCATCAAAGGCGATAAGCAAGACGAGACTAGCGATTGGTGGTCTGTTGGCTGCATCCTGTTCGAATTTCTCTATGGAATCCCTCCCTTCCACGCTGGTGAGGCTGAGCATGTTTTCGAGAACATCCTTGCCCGCAAGATTCAATGGCCAGATGAGAATGAATGCGAACCGATATCCGAGGAGGCCAAAGACTTGATCAATAAGCTACTATGCATGGAACCCCACCAGCGACTGGGTTCTAATCGGGAAGACAAGTTTTCATCCGGAGGTGAAGAAATTCGCAATCATCCTTGGTTCCAGGATGTCAACTGGGACACGCTTTTGGAAGATGAAGCTCAGTTTGTACCACAACCCGAGAATCCTGAAGACACGGAATATTTCGATGCTAGGGGAGCAGTCTTGCAGTCCTTTGCAGAGGAAATGGAGGACCAGGCGTCTCCTCAATCTTCTGCAGCTGGTTCTGAATATGCTGAACGGCCGCACGATGCCCTGTCTCGAGTCCGCTCGCAGGTCAATTCCATAAATCGGAAACTCATGCCGTTGCACATCCCACCGCATGTCCGAGATCTGAAGTCAAGACGTCTAAGCGAGCCAGTCGCGATGGATGATTTTGGCTCTTTTTCGTTCAAGAACCTTCCCGTGCTGGAAAAGGCCAACAAGGACGTCATTCAAAAGTTGAGAGCCGAGGCGTTAGCTGCGCAGAGTAAAGGAACCTCTATTAGCCCTGGAGCAGCAAGCAGCGTCGTGTCACCTGGGCCATCTCTCGAGGGCAGTCCTGTGCTATCGCACCCTGTTTCCCGAACTATATCCAACGCAAAAGCGACGAACCGAGCACAGTCACCTTCTGGCTTTGGCCACGCAAGCGCATCCCCCAATCGGGCCTCTCAGCCTTCATCGCCACTACTTGTGTCCTTTGTTGCTGGCCAAGGAGCCGACGGACGACGTAAAGCATCAAGTAACTCCTCCAGCCTGTCGCATCAATCGACCGCTGCGACTTTGCAGCCAAGCTCAGCGTTTGAGATACCCAAGGTGCCACCAAGCCTACAGAAGGCCGCCACTACTGTTGCAGCATCGTCTCCTGTACAGACTCGCAGCGCAGCGCCACCACCCTTGTCCTTGTCGCCTTCAAAGACCATATCAACCCCAAGACAGGGCAGCAATTCATCTGCAGGACGTTCGAGGTCACTCACTGTGGGCTCGCAATCCCAAGATGGCAGCCCCGTTGCCTCTGACATAATGCACCACCACCGGAATAGGAGAAGTCAAGTCTTTGACATGTCCCCATCCTCGTCAGATAACGAAGGCGAGAAGCACAATGCTCTTCTCCGGGTGCAAAGGCGCAGACAGAGCTCAAGACGGCTTTCACAGATCGCTTTTGACGAAGGACCTACTTTCCGGCCACTTGATGTGCTGATATGTGAGGATCACCCTGTGTCTCGCATGGTAATGGAAAAGCTGCTGGAGAAGTTAAGATGCCGTACGATATCTGTACCCAACGGATCTGAAGCTGTCCGATATTCTATGAGCGAGATCAAGTTTGATGTCATTTTCCTCGAATATCAGCTTCCTCAAATCAATGGGGCTGATGTAGCACGGATGATCCGCGAGACGAAAAACGCTAATTCTCACACTCCCATTGTGGCTATCACGGCTTATTTGAAGGAGCTTCAGGCACCGCACTACTTTGACTCGCTGATCGAGAAGCCTATCAGTTCCTCGAAGCTCACTGAGGTGCTGCAAGGTTTATGTCGATGGCGACCTGAATCACCGGGACATTCGTCAGGTATGCCGCGGCCGGTTCCAATGGGAATTCGCAAGGCCAACTCACGCCTTGAAGATAGTCCCACATCAGGCTCGTCCATCTTCGCTGGTCGTTTAGGTACCGCGATGATGTCCAGCCGGGAAGACTCGATATCCTCGTCTTTGTTCGGTGATTCAGAGTCAGTCACAACCGACGAGCTACCGGTTGTCGTAAGCCGTAAGGGCACGAACGAGTGGGACGAAGGGGGTTTGAATATCACGGACAACAATGATGCTCCCGAACCTACGAAAAAGGGGGTGCCTCACCTCGTGGCTCAACAATCAGCCCCGGCTCAGATGGAACACCGCTCCCGGGGCAATGAGAAAGTGAAAGCAAAGCGTGAAGGCTCCGAACAAAGAACGCTTGAAGGTACCGAGTCAGCGGATGACGAGGATGAAGAGTTGGGAGGTGGTAGAGAAAAGCACCATGGACGGAATAGCCAGCAAATGTTGAGCAAAGCTGGTCTACCCAGCTCCAAGCTTGGTATTGAGATGATGCGAGCGAACAGTCACGATAGCTTGACGGTGGGCTCAGAAAGCACGCCTGAAGCCGTGACGCAAGTTGTGACTACGCCATCGAAAGAAATGGAAACCGGAGTTCTTGATGGTGAAATGGCCGTTGAAGCTACAGCACGTACACCTCCCGATTCAGAATTGAAGGTTGAGGATGCTACACCCAAGACCGATAAGGATGGGACTGATAGTGTAGACGCGACACCCCGGCCTATTACCGTTGTGCGGGATGGCGTTGGCGGTGAAGATGAGGAAGCGACACCAAGACCGGTTGGGAGATAACATTATCATACAGCTGTTGGGTCCTTGCAAGCGAGAAGCTGCCTTGAAGGATACTGTTTATCGATTTTTTTTGTTTCATCTTGAATTTTCTATGTATCTAAATGCAGCGTGGCGTTTGAGCGAAGACAGCTGAGTCAAGTTGCACTGGGGATTGAGGCATCATATACGAGCAGCATTGAGCGCACACGTGTCTACGCGCGGGGAAAATGCCATTCGGCGAACAGACTGAACGTGGGATACTTCAGGCGGTCCACGATAACAGAGACTGAAGTTTCCTTGCCTTCGCCCTAGTTGTTCCGCTATTTCCTAGGGATATGAGCTATACAAACATAAGTGAAGTATGGAGCTGAAGAGGGAAAATGAGAAAACAAGCTATTCACGAACATATCAAATTCGCGCCTGACAAAGAGAAAGAAGATGCAGGAACTGTGACCGCTCAAATAAATATGTGCAACGGGCTTGAAGCAATTCAACAAATCCATCGATCCATATTTGTAGACTTTCATCTTTGTGGCAATTTCACTAGAGTCTTCTACGCTCTGCTTAACATGATATTGTCCATGCTTTCCGGAAGTCTTACAACCTAGGATTCTTGTTGATAACAACATGAATCGTCTTGACGTACATGGACATGGCTAGGCCTGTTGAACAGTTGCGTGATGTTGCATGTCAAAAACCTAATACACGGCGTGTCTTTCGACATCTGAGGGTATGCTCCAAATAGATGACCTGTGGAAGTCTGTTGCAAGTCACGTATGAAGTTGATATGTGCTAAAAATGAATTTCTAAAGGTGGCGGGTTACCAGCGGTTAGAGATTCGTTGAGCGGATCAGTCTGCTCCAGACCAACAACAGAACTCGGAAGAAGGGAAGGTCAAGGGTCTGCGACTCTGTGAACAAAGATGCGGTCGATGCAACTTGGAGAGCAAATCAGGAATCACTTGACCCCGGCTACAAACGTGTCAAAGGGATGGCTTGTGGAGGGGATTGGGGGTTGTTGGAGGGTTATCCACCATGACAATTAAGTTAGTATGCATATTTTTTATGGTTATTCATGGAATGGGGAGGGCTGGAGAAGACGAGAAGAGGGGTGTGGTGTGGTGTGAATATGAATATGGATTGATGGATGATATTCTTGGAAGCCAGAGTATGGCGTCAAACGCGGCGAGACTTGATTGAGTTTTAGAGTTGATTTAGACATGTAGATCTCTTTACTGGTTATCAATTAATGATGGGCAAAACTTAATGCGGTTGGATATCGTCAGCAAGACTGAGAGCACACGATCAACTGCTAGATGCGGGCGAGTAAGCTTTCGATGCAAAACTATGGTGGCCTTTTACGTGCAGGTTAATAAGCTACCTTTAGTCAAACAATATGAGCTGAGGGAGTGAACGACTTGAGAGTCTAGCAGTGCAGCCTCAACCAAGACTCTGTCTGTACGTAAATGTTGCAGGGTTCAGGTGGGATTGATGAATCTAGAGAAAGAGCAAGAGTACGAGCGGGGTCAGACAGTGGGCGAGACCTTGTCTTTGCGGGTTTTGATTTTTGCCGGCCGAAAAGAAGAAGGAAAAAGTACCTAAGCTAGACTGCCCGAGGTAGGCAGGTAGAGTGGAAAAGCAGCTATCGGACGATTACAGAAGTGGAGGGGAGGGAATACGGTGTTGACACGATAAAACATTATAAAACATCCATGGCCAAATTAAGCTTTTCTTTAGTCTTTACTTTAAAAAAGGAAAAGAATTAGAAAAATTAAGATTCAAGAGCATGAGTGAAACTTAGCATGTGAACCGAGCTGAGTGCAGGGTCTTTTTCGTTTCGTGTGGGAGAGGATAGCAATGTCAATCTGTGTCGACCGTCAATCGCATCACACGACTTCTTTCCGCATTTGGCGGATGTCGTTGGGAAGGGATCCACATCTACTGCCCCACCTTTTATCTCCTGCAGCGAATTTTTCTTGATTCTGCCCCGTTTGGGTTTAGAGCACCAATGCCGAGCCACGCACCTGCGGCTCCCGACAGCGCCGAGCCGGGAAATGGAAATAGCAGAAACGTAAGAGCTTGGCAAGACTGGGAAGGAAACAACGACACAACAACAAGAAGACAACGAGACAAAGCCGAAGATCCGTGGAATTATGCATCATTAAAGTCAAACAATCTCCCGGTATCTCGAATTGGACACCGAGAGAAAGGAAATGGAGGGTAGGTAACCTAAACTGAAAGGGTTCCGTGATAAACAGGAAACGGGCCGCATTGTGGTGTGCGTGTGCGTAGAGACCTCGGCGGTCGAATTATCTCTCACCAGGAGGACCCAGAGATCCATTTTAGCAGAGGGTCAAGTCCCCTACAATGCCATGATGCGAATTTTCTAAGCAGAGATCGGCCTCTTTCTTACCAACGGTGTTGGCCGAAGCAAGGTCAGGCGGGTCTTGCAGATGCCGTTTTAGCCGGGTCGCTCCTACTGTACTTCGAGTCAAGTCAAGTCAAGTCATTGAGGTGAAAGGTGGAAGGTGTCGCTCGCGTGCACGACTGCCATCAAAGGAAAAAAAGACAAATGAACGAACCCCAGGTTTTTCCATCTCCGAATTGGAACAGAGTCCAGCCTCTTGCGGATCCGAGTCGAAAAACGTGCCTCTTCTGAAGCTTTGAATTTGTGAATGCGCCTGCCATCAAATCTTATACTATAGTCTTACCGGACCCAGCACAAAAGACGTCATTGTTTTACTTACAGTTTTGTCACCAACCCTAGAATCTAGACTACAGTCATTGACTCTGGTCGCAATTGACCACTGATTTGGATATCCTTTACTTTGTCAGTATCAGATGCAGCAAGTACATACCTACAACACATACAGCCTGTCGGGATCTGGCCTGGATCTCTCGGCGTTTGATGGACATGGACAATGTACATGTATACCTCCGCTAGGCTACCTACGACATGGGGACGGCGGATCAAATCATGCATGTCCCATCCAATGCCATGTCACCCACCCCTGACGTTTCTTACATAGTTCTAGAGCTAGAGCTTTGGTCCCTGATGCAGAGAAACGACACACGCTACACGCTACAGTACACGGCAATGAATGGCAATGGCGAAGACGAGGCGGCGGCGACATGCTCTTTCGGTCAAGCAACGGATCGCGCACGGGAGCTATACACGCGCACACCCTCCCAATCGACCCCAGAGATCGACTTTTGTCCACACGTTCTCCCACGAGGTTAATTTACGTCTTCTTACTGGTCGACTTTCTCTCACGATTATCGTCACTGTCGTTTTGGATATCCGAGCTCTAGTTGCTATACATATCATTCCTCATGTAGTTCAAATACTGCCCTTCCTCGCCCTCTTAAACCGTTGGAATTGCAATTCTGTTTCTCTCCCCAGAGTCAAAACAAGACTTTTCCGAGTCTTGAATTCCTCAATTCTTTTCCCGCCCCATCAAAATTGGGCCCTCGGCTCTTCTTGTTTGCCTCCAGTATAAAACTTTTTTTTTCTCTGGTGGTTTGTGCTTTGCCCACTACTTGCGCCTCGCCTAGCCTGGGATCCAAGATACATACTCTCTTCAAACCTATAACTGCTTTCCTACAACAAAATCTTGTGCATAACTCAACTCCTGCACCTTTGATCAAGCATCATCAACAACACCCCAACTTTTTCATCCAAGGCTCTTTACGCCTTTCGTCACAATGGTTCACCATAGACATCACGAGTCTACGGTGCCTGGTGAGATCCCTGTTCCGCATGGTCCTGCAGACAGCGACTCTGAGCACATCTCAAACGAGCCTATCGCATATGCTACTGCCGATGAGCGTCGCATCTTCAGCCATGTAACACGCCCAGATGATTCCTACACCGAGGATGGCGTCTACTGGGCCGATCTGCCTTTGTCTCAACGCTACCGCTTCGTTTCAAAGGTTGACAACGATGCTGCTAAGGAAGAGGCCAGCACTGCTTGGTCAATGTTCAAGGAAGACCCTCTGTCGCCTTTGTCCTGGTACTTTCGCCATGCTGTCATTCCTGGTGCCGGTCTTGGTCTCGAGGGATACGTCCTCTTCTCTATCGGTAACCTTGAACCTCTTTTCAAGGCTGTCTGGCCTGAATGCTGGGGTAAGGAACCGACTACCTGCGCTCACAACTGGGTCGCCGCTGTCACATACCTCGAGATTATTGGTATCATGGTAGGCCAGGCTGTCGTTGGTGTAAGTCCCCCCTTTTCCCTAGAGCTTCAAAAGCTCTACCATATGGTTTGATATTCTGACACTTCACAGGTTATGGGTGATTGGGTTGGTCGACGATGGGGTCTCATTCAAGACGCCGCCATCATGTTTGTCGGTCTGCTCATGCTCACTGCTTCCTGGGGTCTTACTCTCCAGGGCTGGGTCATCTGCTACGCTTGGTCTCTTTTCTTCTACGGTTTCGGTGTTGGTGGCGAGTATCCTATCACAGCTACTTCGTCTCTGGAGGGCGTTTCTTCTGGTGGCAGAATCTCCACCCGCGAGGATCGTCTGCACCGTGGTCGTCGTGTTACCACGGCTTTCCTCATGCAGGGTTGGGGTCAGTTCGTCAACCAGGTCATTCTCATTGCTCTCCTCGCCATTTTCAACAACGGAAAGACAGCGCCCCCTTACAGCGCATCTGCTGCCCAGTACACCTTCCGACTGTCCTTTGCGTTTCCCGCCATTGGTACTCTTTGGCTCCTCTACTATCGTACCTATCGCATGCGCAGCGCAGGTAAGCAGCTCGCTGAGGCTAAGAAGCGCTCAAACGTCACTGGTTACGATATGAACGCCCTTCGACACTGCTTTACCAACTTCGGCGGTCGCCTTCTGGCTACCTCTGGTACTTGGTTCTGCAACGATGTCTTCTTCTACGGCAACAAGCTCTTCCAGGGTCAATTCATCAAGGTCATCTCTCCCGATAGCAACTCTATCTTCACCACCTGGACCTGGAACCTAGTCAACATCACCGTCTCTCTGGCCGGTTACTACCTCGCTTCTCTTCTGATTGACAACAAGATGTACGGCCGCAAGATGATGCAACAGGTTGGCTTCTTCATGTGCTTCCTGATGTTCGTCATTCCCGCCTTCAAGTACGACTACTACACTAGCCCGGCTGGAATTCACTCCTTCCAGGCCATGTACTTCATCTCGTCTTTCTTCAACCAGTTTGGCCCCAACTCGGTCACTTTCCTTGTCGCCGGCGAGGTATTCCCTACGCCCATTCGCGCTACAGCTCACGGCTTCTCCGCCTGCATTGGCAAGTCTGGCGCTCTTCTCGCCTCTGTTCTCTACAACTACATTGATGACCAGACCAAGTTCTACGTCGTCCCTTGGTTCGGCCTTGCTGGCATGCTTCTCACATGGGTTTTCCTCCCTGACACCACTGGCCTCGATCTTAAGGAGCAGGAGCGTCGCTGGTACTACATTCGTGATGGCAAGGAGAGCGAGTACCACGGCGTTGCTGTTAACCCTATCCATTTGTCTCTCTGGGAGCGTCTCCGAGGTCTTGGCAAGAACTACGACCCCGAGGCTGACTGGCAGGCAAAGGTTCAGGACATGCGTACTGAGTGGGAGCTTGTCCAGGCCAACCGTGGCCCCAAGGAAACCGAAGGTGCTATGCCTGAGGACGGCGAGTTCTCTGCTGAGATCCATGAGTTTTTCAAGCGCTCTAGCCCCAAGCACGTTGGTCGCCGAGACGAATCTCTCATGGTAGACTCGATCAACGAGAAAACAGCAGCGCCCTCTGATGATTCCAACTCGAAATGAAAACCTTTTCTTTACTGATGCCATTAGCAATGCATCATGACTAAATATCATATTGGAGCGAACGGGTAGCATGGGTTTGGCGTTTACGGTTTTACAATACATTGTTAGTTTTCATGGGAGATTTCCGAACTTCCTCTGTATCATTTTGATACGGAACGGCCAGCAGGCTGTTCGCTGTGAAAGACCATGCAGTCGAAAAATAAAAAGTCTTTATGCCTAGCAAAATATCTACTCTAACTTAATATCACTTTTTTAAACAAAAATTATGAAAGACTTCTTGATGATGTGTCTGAGCGATGTTATGCTTGACGTTCGCTCAGTCTCTTTAACTGCTCATTGTGATATACTATATGCCTAATCAAAGGATGTGATCATAATACAAAATGACAAAACCATGGCGAGTGCCGTCAAAACTTTGGTGGTATCTAGAATCGAAATGCGTTTCCCCGTGCGCCAGGCACATGGTCTTTATATAAATGCTGGATTTGACAAAGGGAATAAAGTTATAAAAGAAGAAGTGGTATAAAGGTCGCTTCCTGTCCTATTTCCTCAAAGATAACCGAATCCGTCTCCTTCGCGTAATTACTCCCGTGAGGCTCCAGTGGTCCTGTCGTATTAAAAAGCCTGTTCCATGGTTTGATGTCATTGCGGCGACCCCTGCAAACGAGGTTGTTGGCTTGGTGTACTTGCAGATGGCACAATGACACCCAGTACGCAGTCATCAAGATGTTCATAGAAATCTTGAGCGGTACTGAACCCGTTTTTACATATGGAGCACCGTGCCTTTGTGCCTACCGGATCATCGCCTCCGGGTAGTCGGTGGCCACTGCTATGGCCTGTCTGATCGACCTGGTGAGCAGCAGTCAAGTGTCGCTTGAAGACATCCGCACGCGTGAATACCTTCTCGAAAGGACTCCCAACTCCAGGGCAGAATGGGCAAACCATAGATCCTCGATAATGAGTAAGGGCATGGCGGTTCTTATCGTACTTGCGGGCGAATCCTTTCGTATGGTACTCGCATGTTACAATCGGGCACTTTTCGGGTCTCTCCTCCTGGTGTGTGAGCATGTGAGAGGCCAAGTCGCGGAATTCACGACCACAGTCAGGATGAGGACATCTCGTTCGGTTTTCGGCGGGTCTTCGAGACGGGCTGGCTCGTTCGATCGGTATTGACTGTTCCATAGAATTTGAGGAGAGAAGCGGCCCCAGTACTGTAGCAGGCGGTTGTGCGTCGGGGATCATGGGAGCTTGATGCGACATCGAGTCTCGATAAATGGCCGGCGGGGGAAACTCGTCTATGTCGTCTTCCCCGCTGGAGATGTGTTCGTCGGGCACGTCAACTGATTGGCGTACTTCTCGCATCCAATCCTTCAAAACACTCATAGATGGCCAATCACCACTGGCCTTTCCGACTCGATGTGGTCGGAAATGCGCACGACGAAGATGCGCAGCGGCGTTGTAGTATGCCCCATAACGTTTCTGTGCCAGACATGCTTTACACCTCGATAAAGGTATGACTGGCTGCGGTGAAGTAGGTATAAGATTTTTTGGCTCTTTGCAGACCCAACGTTTGACCGTGGCTGAATGTTTGGCATCTATATGGCGCCGTAGCTCATGGTCACCACGGAAGCCGTCCGGATGTTCGTTGCATTTGTCGCAGTATACACGTCGTAAAGATGTCCGACGCGAGGATGACTTTAGTCTCGATGGAGAAATTGGTTCAGCCCCTGAAGGTCGCCTCGACTCTGGGTGAGGCGACATGTCATCGCTTATTGTGTGCCTGCGAGCACGTCCTGCAATTTCGCCTGGCAGCGCAAATTGGCCTGGTAGAGAGAAATCCGAACGCATTCCAGAGATTGTGTATTGGGACGATGAGCCTGTCAAGCCGATTGGTGGTGGATGCTTCGAGAAGGGCTGTCTGGATATACTGTCCAACTGCGCTGTTGATAAGGCCCTTGAGCTTCTAAGACCAAAAGAATGTCTCCCAGGCATAACAAAACCATTAAATCCATAATTAGGAGTTTCTCCTGCACCAAGGTTCATGAGAAAGTCGATGCTCGAGAAAATATGCCTCGGGGGCCAGTGATCGTGTCTGACGACTCGAGCGATGCTGCGGACAATGGGATCGTCTGATTCCGAGCCGTTCAATAGAGGATCGTTTGAAGTGGCGAAGAGAGAGACTAACGCCTGATACACACTGCGGATAACTTGGTCAGGACGTTCCGTCGGTGTTGTATTGGCTTGCAGAGGGTCGGTTCCCTGGAAAGACCAAGCAAGGTCAACCAGAATGGTATCCACAGCACTGAAAATGCAAAGCGAGATAAACACTCCTAGCCATTGTCTAACGCCCATAGTCGGCAAGTTCGAGGCTGCGAAGTCCAACGAGACTAGATAACGTCGTGTGCATTCCCTCAACAGCACGTTTCGTTCAGTCGAGGGACGACTATCAATGGGAGTCTGAGGAGGGAAGCTGGTCTCGATTCGTAGCAAGGGTTTCGGTTGAGATGCGTCGTAAAATACAATCTCGCGTAGTAGTTGTTTTGCACGGAAAAGAGCGGGATGGATCGTTTGTTCTTCTTCTCGTGACATAGAAAGTTGACCGCTGAGACTCAGTAACTCAAGAAGGTCGAATGCAACACCTCGAAAGGTCGGACTAGAAGCAATGAGCTGCAGAACAGGCGGCGGAGCTCCAGGATCGTGATAACCTGGCCCTAGTGGTTGATTAACACGTTCACTTAGACCAGGCTCCCCGTCTTGCCACCAGAACGTATCTTGGAAGTCAGTTCTCCAAGTCGGTCTCGTGACAGCTGAGAGAGCAGGATTTTGTGCCAATATTTTATCATTAATGCTTCCTCGCCGAGGATTAGAGGGCGTCAATGGTGTTTGAGGTTGCGACCAAGCAAACGACCCTACGTAGAAGTTAGCAAGAACGGAACCATGTTAGTAAAAGGTTCTTCGTACCTTGAAGCAGAACATCCACTAGAGAAGTGACAGATCCACGATAGCATCCAAGGACACTCCAATGCAACTCCGACTCGGATGAAGATGTTCCCGAGCAGCGGGCACATGGGTTGTTTGCGTCACACTGTGATAGTAAGCACCTAGCTTGTCCCGCAAGGTAGGTGGCCAGGATAGAAGTACTTACTGGTCTGTTCGAGGCTCGACACCGGAGGCAAGGATCATTGTTGCGGAGGAGCTTGAGTTCGCCTATAGATTTTAGACGATCGTGTCCCACACGAGCTCTTTTTAAGGGGGGCAATTGGGGGTCAGAGGTCGTTTCTTCACTGCCTCGGGGCAGCACAGGTTTGGGATCCGAAAAAGAAAAGCTCGAACCATGGTCCCTTCTCGTTGTCGCTGTGGAGGCGGTTGATGGCGTCGGAAAGGGAAGAGGGGGTAAATTGGCCGTCACAAGTGCGGCAGGCGGATGAATAGGTGGTAATCGATCCCGAGGCAAAGGCCCAGCGCCTTTCCCTGGGAGTTCAGAAGTGGTCGAGGAGCCCTCGGGTTGCGTGAATGGTCCCGAGTCACTCGTACTTTTTGGCGAGTGTAACCGAAGGTGGTGGTCGCGTTCAAGTTGGGTTGAGAATCCGTAAATATAATGAACGCATTGTTCATGCGAACATTTAAAAGAGGCCCTCGAGGGGCTGTGTGCTGAATTAGAATCGGTTAGAGATAAAGAGCGAGTTACTCGATCATGATGCGCGAGGTGATGATCGAGCCATGATGGATATCCTTGTGGTGGTGGAAACGGAGGTGAGTTTTTTAAAGTGCGGGCAACATCCATATCTATGATGTTAGCTTTGATTCTTGTGAATGTAGACTAGAGGTGCAAGATGTATGCATCTTGCAAGACTCGGTCATTAACTTACTCTGTTGCCTACATGCAGACTCAAGGCATTCGCAACGATACTGAAGAGCCCGGGCTTCTTCAGCTTGAGAAAGGGAGGGGATATGCGACGAAATGCCTACAATCCAAGGGAATCAGATTACATAGACTTCAAAACGGTGGCCAAAAGTGCAACAAAACACGAGTGGTGTTGAAGCGCTCCAAGAGAGAGGCAGGACTAGACGTACCGTAACGTTCGACAAGATTCTCGAGGGTACGGAGTTTGTGCCGCAGCATATCGACCTCGAGAGCGGCATTGAGAGTGACATTTTGGCCTTGCTGATTTGGTGATGGTGCAACTGGCTCCGACCCAGTGCCAACATCAAAGTGAGGTCGCTGACGTTGGCCGGCAAGTTCAAGATGGGACTCCGGGTCGGATAGGCCCCGTGGAGTGTAGTCATCCCGGCTCATATCTAGACCAGATCATCTCATCTCGTCCAGAGTCGACGTTTCAATGAGTTTCTGTTGTATCGGCTTGATGAGATACTGAGCATGACTGGTCGCTTTCCCAAGAAATTCGCTGGCCGGTTACTGCTCGCATATGCCAGTAGCCATTTGTCGGTGGTACACAGCAGAAGGTGGGCAACCGTCGCCCGATGCAGGAGGCGGACAGGAAGAGTTGAGTTGAAAAGAAGAATCAACGAAACGAGAGATGAGGCCCCCCGGACAGGCAATATCAAAAATCGATCCGGAGGCTCTCGTGGAGATGTTAGAAATCAAGACGAATGAACGAGCCAAGATTTATCAGAGGGCACGAGCGCACGACATTGCATTGTGCTGGGCCCTCACCCCCCATGGCCCCGGCCATGTGTGAGAGGCACAGCGAGGGAGTGAGGGCAAAGAGTGAGCAAGGTGGGGCAGAGCTCCCCCGTCGCGGCAGATTTGGAGATAGTGCCGACAACGATGCGGTGCGGGCTCTGGGCCTGGATCCGGCTGGAGCCCGCAACAGACCAGGTATGAACTGCGGGTTGCAAGGGCACCTCTGGGTACAGTAGGTACAGTAGGTACAGTACAGCACCTTGGATAGGTTGCTGGACCTTGGTATGGAGGTGCTTCTATGCCCCAGGACAACACAAGCTATAGAGTGAGAAAGGGCCGTGTTACTCGACTTGAATTGACACCGTATTTTGGTGGCAACATTCCTGGATTCGACACAGTATGTATACAAGCATGTCAGTGTCGATGGAGGTATTCTTGGATATGGATTCAATGACAGACAGCGGGGGACCACCCACCAACCGGGTCCTAGCAAGAGCCACGAGCCCAGGCATGAGGGCGATTCCAGCACCACAACCCTGCGCGAGCTGTTCGTCCCGTTCGCCCTGCTGGCCCAGCTCGCCCCCTCGTCCTCACGCTACGCTCCTTCACAGACAGTGACTCTGTCATGGTAGCCTTGTCGAGGTATTAGCCCGTCTCGGCCGTAACCCTGTCACGGAAGGTGGTCAAGATATATGGCAACCATGCAAGAGCGTTTGCTGATGAGAGGGTCAAAAGCTGAGCATGGTCTAGCTCTGGCTCTGGCACCGCCATATCACCCGCTGCATTTCTTGATGCCATTGTTTTACTACGAATAAAGTAGAAAGGCTGCAGGAACTGAGACCAAGTGGGTGTAGCTTGAGCCGTTGCTGTGGCTGTGTACATGCAGCAATTGCTCTTGTCATGACAGGCAAGGTGCATACACACACCACACACACGTTGGTCCCTAGCGCTGGTACTGTCTTTGTTTGATATTGCTTCTCCTAGTCAAATCGCAGCGCCATGTCTTGTCGCAACGTGGGCAGCCTCAGTACGCGCTTATCAGCCCTCCATTTCGTCTCATCTCTCAACGAAGACACCCAGTGGGGCAGATATCGTCTGTCATTCTGGCGGTAAGAGTCTGAGAACTTTTGGCGAGGCAGCTGGGCCAAATTGTCAGGTAAGAGAACTCTTGTCCCTTCTGCTCTGATCTAGGCTTGGCTTGGCTGGGTTTGAGATTGTCCAAGGGAGAACGGTTACCAGGATACTGTGGCAAATGCGTCTAAAAAGTTCCGGCCGAAACCCTCGGGGTTGCTTAGCGTACCTAATCTGTCAGCAAACAGGTCTAATAGAGCAAGCAAGGTTAGAAATGAGATGAACGCGGAACAAGAGCAAATATAACACGAGTGGTATTTGACGGCAAAGACAGCCGCCTAGCAGCAACGGCTGCTTCTGATGGTGTCTCCCAGTTCGCCCCTACCATCGTCAACGCTACCGCGACTTTAAAGCTTGTGCTGTAAGATGTGAGTTTCTGTACTGTGCTATGCTGTGCTGTGTACTGCAATTCGGTAGCGTGTTTGTCTACTCTCTGCGTTTTCTTTTTCTCTTTTCTTTCCCTTTCTATACGGATATGTATTTCCCAAAACACGGTCTTTCCCTGCATATGAGTGATCGGCTACGACGTTGCGAGATCAAGGGAAATTTGGGTCCTCTTGGGGAGGATTGATTAAGTATTTCTTTGCCGAGATGACAAAGTCGAAGCTGAGAGGCGAGGGCTGAGTCGTCATGCCACATCCTTGGTAGGTAGGGCATAGTACTTACTGTACAGTGCTGTACATACCTAGGTATAGTAGGTAGCCGGGACAATTTTATCCAATTTCATGGTAATGAGCTGGACCATGGTGCTGTTGAGAGGATAGTACGTACAAAATTAGGTGAGTGAGATGGAGATGATGGATGCCACTAACCTAGGAAGACCTGGGTAGCTAAGGCACCCTGGCCCTGGCCCAAGCTCCTTTAGAGGTTGTCATAAATCAATCGGAACGGGAGGGGCCTGTCTTGGCCATCCCATCCATCATCCCCTTTGGTATCTGGTCTTATTTCTGCTTGTTCTCCCTCGCCAAGTCGTAAACATGGCATTATGTATGAGTACTTTGACTGTGCACCAAGCTGGCGAATAGGGTGAAAGGAGTCATTCTGGCTGTGACAGGAGGGACAAGACTGCGGGCATAAAGTAGGTGAAGTATCTCGTAAATCATGTCAAAAGTCGATGTCAAAAATCGAGTCGAGCAGAGTTGAGTCGAGTCAACTCAAGTGACCTCGAGTCAAGTCGATGTCGAATTGATGTGGACTGACTGCTGAGTTCCATGACTGTGGATGTGGATGGCAAGAAATGGACCATGCTCCTTCCCGGCTGGAACTCAAAGTTTTGAAACCAGCAGGAGCAGCCAATGGAAGGAACAACTTGTTGAACCCTGCACTGGGATGCTTGGATGCCCACATCAACGGTTCTTAGGCAGGTGCAGGGATGTTAATGTTTAGCGGCCACGCGTGCATCGCAAGTGCAAGTGCAATCGAACGTGAGTGGAAAGTGCAGGGCAGGGAAAAGGGTCAGCCATGGAAGCCAAGACTAAGAGGACGAAGAATCCAAGTGAGAGGGGGGAAAAAGCAAGCCACAACCCAGCCCAGGGCAATGTCCAAGCGCCCCCGCTTCTTCAACCGTCCGTCGCAAAGCCACGAGTTTTGGAAATAACCCCGGCCGACCCTTCATCTCGTTGTTGTTCGAGGCTAAAAAGAAAGCCCATGTCTGATTTCTGAACTTGTGCGACATATACTTACAGGTACCCTACCTTGGCGAGCTATCAATTAACTAACAGAGGTAGTATCCGTAATCACAGCTGGAAAATGGACTGCTACACTACACCTTATCTTATTACCGGACCTGTTCCTTGTCTCCCAGCTGGTCCGGAGGCTAGAGCCTAGAAGCCCAGAACAAACATGGGTCGCCATCAAGCTCTTCAAGCTCATTCCCGGCCCACGTTGGAGCAAATGAAAAGATCAATGTGGTTCCAGCTTGATTTAATCTCGATGACCTTGGATGGATAACAAACTTGTAATCACATACGTTCAATCCACGTAGGAAACCAGGTCCAAGGTGCCATTGTGCAGCAATCAATATCTACCTCGGTAGATACCTTGGTACTAAAAGTACCAAACTCAGGTCAGTTAGTAGGTAAGTACAGTACAGTAGGTCTAGTATGTTAGGTTAGTAGTGAGGAAGAGGCAACAAATAGACTTCCCAGCTCAGCAGTAGATATAATACACACATATGTACTTACAGTACACGCAGGCATGCATGCATGCACGTTTTCTGCTTAACTGCCCCAGCTTGCCCCAGGCTCAATGTGACACTACGTCGTACCTTGCCTACTTATTTACCTTGCTGCATACCATGTACCTTTATCTCTCATCTCTCCTAAGCCAGCCACGTCTGCCTCTCTCCCACAAGCCACACCATACAGGTATATACCTTGCTGCTATACCCGACCAAAGCAAGGTAATGCACCGCAGACAGCCGCCTGTTCTCTCTAGCCATCTTAGGATAACGGCCCGGTTGGTCGAGCGGGTGTGATGGACGCAAGATGCTGCTTCTGGTGATGCAGCTGTCCCTCGTGCTTTGGCCTGTGAGGGTGTCGCCGCCGACTGTGGTTGGGCAATTCCAATCATGCTCTCTTCTCCCTCCCGCTGGATCCAAGATACATGCATACAGTAAGGGAACTAACACGGTCCGATGTGTCTCGGTAATGAGGATAGACTGTGAAATCATGTGGTAGCCACTGTACTTCCCCATCAAACAACGAAAATACAAGTCAAAGTAAACAGTACTCGGGTTACCAAAGAAACGCCAACTCGTGCGTGAAGATTTGTGTCTATATTAAAAAGATCCGGTTACAATAATGGTGTAATTATGCTGGTCATGTAGGCAAGACAACAGGTTAGGTCCTGACCTGTCCATTTATCCAGCTGTCGTAGCTAGCCATAGCTCATGTTGAATGGCTTGATTCGTCCCTCTATATCATTCCCTGTCCCGCAGCCGAGCTTTGGTTTTATGTCATCGTGGCCCAATAAACACGTAACAAAAACATGAAAGAGATTAGGCGTTAGAGCGTGGCAAGCGCCAGAAATGGGCACGAGAAGTCGGGACCTGTCAAAGTGACAGCGAACCAAGAATGGAAGCATGGAGAGTACATGGGAAAATGCGGGCGTGGGCCAGGAACGATAAGACCGCTTGCTGAAGATAGAACCCAAAACTGGATGCAGGGATGAAGGGAAAATCGCCTTCCCTGTAACCGTTTCCTGTTGTATCCGTTCCCATTTCCACGCATTTGCTCGACTCCCCGCCCATATTAGCCGCTAACAGAATCACTCTGTCGTAGGCTGATCGAGGTTAAACGTCTGCCACTGACTTCAGTCCCTGGTTTCGATTGTCGCCATGCCATGTTGTGTGTCGTGCCCAGATAAGTCATGTTTGATTCATCTACTCGTTACGCCACCACGTCTTCTCCCTCAGTGGCATCTCCTGGTCAGTGGCTTTTCGGCTGCCATCTTCCTCGGCCTTGTATGCCCAGTATTCACCCAGACGCAACTCGGCATATTGGGCATAGTCGAAGTCAATCTTTGAGATAACGGCCTGAATTGATGACCAGATACCCCAGTAGAAACCTGGGACTCCTCGGTAGGCGTCGACCTCTGCCATGAGCTTGCGGACTTCCTCTTCCTCGTCGACTGTCTCGCCTGTTAATGCGAAATAGGCCTTGATGTACTCTTTCACAAAAGCAAGTCGCTGGTCCTGTCTAGGGACAGCTGCATAGTCGCAATCGTATCCAGCCCACTCGGCAAAGTGGTTCGCCACGTCAAATGCGGCGGGTGAAGGAGTGGCATACTCATAGTCGATGAAATCGACAGTAGGTGCCGCATCGTCTTCTTGGTGGATGATAACGTTGGCACATAGCAGATCGCAATGCGCAAATACAAGCTACCAGATTCGTCAGCTATTTCATGCTACACAAGGTGTGGAGCTCATCAACATACCCCGTTCATGCCAAGGCCAGGTCGTTGACTCAATTTCTGTACTATCACCTTCAACTCAGCCTGTAACAGAGCTTGTTTTTCCCTTTGAGCCTCAGTATCAGTGGGCAAGGCGAATATCCATTTCTGCATAGTCGTCCAGACGTTGGGCGGTGGCTTGCCGGGAGCAGTACTATCAATTTGTTCTTGACGGGACTTGTCGCTGTCTCCGTTCACACAACCGTTGGCATGGCCGTTAATCTGGCCGTTGGTAGAACCATTACCATTTACGTGCTTCTCGTCCCGGGCGTGGTTGGGATCTGGTAAGCAAGGAACAGTCGCGTGCCAGTGTGCAAGACGTCGGGCAATGGCAGAGAGGATAAGAGGTTCACTGAGATCCTGGGCGCGAGCAGGCTTACCCAGAATATAACGGTACATCATGCCATTTTTGAAACGAGCAAGCAACTGAGTAGCAAGACCATGCCTCATGAGTAGCTCATGATTCTCGGCCTCACGTTCACGGTCAATGAGAACGGCGGTTCCATGACCATAGGCACGCAGCAGAATAGCATCTCTGTCAACATCAAGCTTTGACATGCCAGGACGGCGGTTGACGGCTTTTAAGAGAGTGTTGGTGATACCATCAGTGAAGCGCACAAAATCGACGTTTGAGTCTTCGCTAGCCCAATCCGGCATGAGGGTCAAGATGAGTTTGAGGGCCGAGTCGTGTGATTCATTGTTGTCGTAGGTCAAGTCCAAGAAAGGGACATGACCAAAATCGAGGTTGGTTGGTGAGGATGTCATGGTCACGCGAGCGCAATATGAATGAATTTGTGAAGAATAAAGGTAGGGTGGTGAAACCGTGAGGACAATAGGTACCTTTGTAGAATAGGTAGACGCTGAGGAGGGGGGCAAAATATGGAATGAAAGAGGGGATGCAGAGGCGAGAAGGTTGAGGCAGGACCTATGGTGGGGTCTCGACCAGCGGGTCTGAAAGGGAAGGAGAAGATAGACAAGCCAGGCGAGGAAAGTCGGTCTTGCTGTGCTGCAGGGAAGGCTGCTTGAAATGACGATCAAACAAGGCCAAACCTCAAGGCCAAGTGTAAAAGATTTGAGGGTGGTCGTAGAGGGAGAGCAAAGAAAAGAAGAAGAGAAAAAAAGGGTGCTTAGTTTCTCCCAGGGGTTCAGGGGCGGAATGGAAATCCGGGGACGTCCAACATAAGGCGGCGCCGGCGACGGTGGTAGTTGTGACAGTCAGGTCGTACCGCAAGACGGTGGAGAAAGGGGTACCGGAGGCTCAAGGAGGGGAGTTTCGGCCGGGAGGGAGACGGAGATTTCGGCGAGGACGGACAGAAAGATTAAGTGATTCTTTGAATACAACCGATAGTCCAGGTATTGCAGAGGTGATAGAAGTAGACGATGGGTGGACGAGAGAAAGAAAGCACACGACCTGTTGCCCTTCCAGTCAAACGTAATTGGGTAGCCAGGTATAGCAAACAAGCGAGCACCGTGCCTCAGCTCGTGTAGGCAGTAATAAGTAAATAAAATAATTAGTGTAGAGCTAAGGCAGACGGGACGAAGCGGTGTTGGCTGTGAAATGGGAGGATGAATTGTGAGTGGGACAATCGGCCTAGACTATTGGATCCATGAAGAAATTCGGTGCCGTTATCCGCCAGAGTTTTCAGATAAATACGAATGTCGTGTGTCATGCGCAATACGAATGAATGAATGAATGGTTCATGATATTATAAATAGTCCATGGATATATGACATCAGGTAAGGTACCTAGGCAGCTCATGTACTGCAGTCTGTGAAGTGCGCTGTGCTTCAAAGGACTCGGTTGAAAAGTTCTTGGACCTGGAATCACATGTCCAAATATGTATTAATTGATTGCTTGGGCTAGGTGGTTTGATTTGCCCCTAGGTAGAGGTAGGTAGGGTCCTCGACTAGATTATCCACTAAAATGGCACCTGTGACTGGATAATCGAAAACACCTACAACAGTCGGTCGGTGAAAAGGGAAAGTAGTTGTGAGAAAATGAGATGAGTTGAAATGAGAAATGAAATAGTAATTTTATGTTGGATGTCATAATCCGTCTAATCCAGACGTTGGGCCTCTTACTGTACCGTACGTACAGAGAGGTAGGTGACTGGATGATGGCCATTCAACACACAAACTCACGTCAGCTCCTTATGCTCCTTCGCGTTCATTACACACCGACTTGTTGAGATTGACAAACTATTTGTTCGACGCTACTGCAGATACGAAAGTATCGTACCTATAGGAGCACGTATTTCTGCAAGCAGTACTATAGCGTTGAAAGCACTCGCGCATAACGTCTCTTGATGAATGCAATACATGATTCAACTATCAGTACCGGGCTGTCTGGATACTTCCTGTCAACTGATCCGCTACTTCTATCGAGACGAGTCTAGAAAAACAATTGACGCCACATCTGATCAATGACGTCCAGCTGCACATTACCAGCCTCACCTCATTCCTTCCCTTCCTTTCCCCCACCATGTCTACAAGCAGACAGGCAGGTACCCAGGCAGCCAGGCACCGTGGCGCCTTCCAAGTTCCATCAGGTCCCGTCTGCTTCACGCTCGGGCCGTGCGCAACAGCTACCCTGGAACCCCTCTCCATCATTAAAATGTGGCGCTCTTGAGGCTTATCTCCACAACCACTTGAGGCTCTGACTACGTACTGAATAACCAACCTCACCTGCGGGACGTTTCAGCCGAAAGAGACAGAGGCAAAGGGCATACGACACTGTCTCGATGTGATAATCGACAGTCGGAGCCACAACCTCCCAAATTCTGTCACGCCATAACATGTAACAGTCGCTATCATGGCCGTGCCGAGTGTTACCAGCGACAACTTCCTCGCTGTCGCCCTCGTAGTCAATCGTTCGCGTGATGGCCCAGCTTTCGTATTTCATTATCCTGCACAAGTTGAGCCTCATTCCAAGCCGGGCTCGGTTACTGGCAACGAGCTAGAAGACATCCTTCTCGAACGTCTATCGCAGCAGAGCTTCTCAGACGTCGCCGGCGATGCGGCAGTTTCTAAACAGGGACGGAATCCAGATGAGCACTCGTTCACTGAGTCAGGCTCTCAGATTGTGCCATGGGAGCGTGTTGCAGGATTTCCCGCCCGTGACCTTGCTGGTATTCTCACGCCTGCTCGTCCGTATCACAAACGGCTCTTCCAACTATCACTAGATCCACTGTATTGTGTGTCATATCCCATTCATGTCCCTGAGAACGGAAGGTGGAAGAAACCTAAGAAGGCGTCTCGTGCCGAGAAGCGCTCTGCATACAACGATGAGTTGTTGGCACCGCACGAAACTGGTCCCGCGACTGCAGGAAAGGCAACTGAGCAGCCTGCCGACGAGAAGGACGGGAAGAAAGAGGATGGCAAAGACAAGGACGATGAGAAGCGCAGCTCCATGACTATGTTCAACCTTGTCTTTATACTAAATCCCAGCAGCAACGAAGTCAAGGATGTTATCGAGTCACTGTATGACCACATCATAAAGAAAGTTAGTAAGGCTTTCAAATACAGCCAGCAGCACAGCGAATTTGTGTGGAAAGAGTCAAAACGGATACTCGTTGCAAAAGATAAAGCGCGCGAGGAGCGTACGTAACTATGGAACTTCCACGATCAATAGGTGCTGACCGGTAATAGGTAAACGGATGAGTGTCCTGTGGAAAGAAATACTACAAAGCTCATCGCTGGCTGCGGCCATGCATGATATATATGAGGCCGTCTCGCAGAACAAGATCGCAGCTCTGCACCTTGATACTGCAGCTGGTGCCCTGACCCCTTCCGTTCAGATCCCCGTGCCCTTCTACATAGATGACCTCCCGCAAGGCGAAGAGGGTACCCAACGTGGCCTGTGGTTAACAACGGCAAACACCTTTATGAGCCAAGATGCCTTAGAGGAACCTGGCTTTCTCGACCGTAACTTTGCCCTTTTATTGACAGATGACGAGAAGAAAATCATCTCTGAGCTTCAAGCCGATCCGGATCCCACTACAGCCTCTATGGTCGAGTTTGTGCGTTTGTCAAAACCCACACAATCGTAAGCAGCCTATCGTTGAACATTGTGTCAGCCCCTAACAAACCCCAGATTTTATCAAGTTGGACAGAGCAACATCCTAACCTTAGGCCAAGTTCGTAAATATGCTCAGCATTTCATATTTTGGCGTCGTGCGATCGCCATTCCTCCTCTCCATGCCAAGGACCAATACATCCTATCTCCTAATAGCGATCTTTCCCGCCTCCCTCTCGACACTCTCGAATGGCAGCGGGCATTTCCCTTGGCACCGCCTCTCCCTAACTTCCTGGCTGAGCTGTCTCAGGCGCCTCGGCCATATAAGCAGTTCTCGCCTAGTAAAGCTCATCGTCCCACCTATCTTCTCATGCTCGCCTGGCTCATGCGACGTGGTTGGGTCACTCAACTATGTACATTTGCCTACGTTGTCGTCTGGCCCGAGATCTTGTACGAGGTCGAGTATGAAATGGAGGCTGAGGAGCTTCGAGCTGCCGCAGATTCGAATAAAGACAAAGATATCAAGGAGGAGGAAGACCCTACGGCCACATCGGTTCCCCGTACTTCCGAATCTTCTGAAGGCCACTCTGGCACCGACGGCTCCCACGTTCCTACTGTGGCCGAGCAGGCTGCTGAAAAAGCCCGACTTGAGCGTATCGCCTCTAAAGCTCAGCGCGACGCTGCAGAGAAGGCTACTGCGCACGCCAGAAAGCCCATGCCTGTAGCGACCGCGCACCCCTCCGTTAACGACCACCCACACCTTCAAGGCCTGATACCACATATCATACTCGACGCCAAGAAAGCTACTGGAAAAGAATCACGCTACTTGTCAGCTATAGCGCGCCGTTTCAATGACGAAAAGTTGACAAACAGTTGGCAGGTCATGTGTAAGTATTTCGATGGACGTTGTGCGCTTGAACGCATTGCTCTACAGGAGGATATGAAGCGGAAGCTTGTATGGAATACGTTGACAGCAATGAGCGAGTATCTCCTCTGCACTCGTCATTGGTGACCTGGCACTTCTTCAACCTATGGAGTATCACAACACTTGCAGTCTTTGGTCTTGGTATATGCTGTACAGCCGCGGATGAAACATTTGTAATGATAGGTATCTCGCTGGTGGTATCTAGGCAATAAATAGCAACGAAATAGCAGGTACAAGACTTTGGCCAATGCATCAAGCCTAGTTATCCTCCAGACAAAGCAAAGATCTACTTCCCATCCGCCTGGTAAACGAAACTTGAGAACGCCGCAGTGTGCGTATTAAACTGCAAGTAGAAATAATAACAGGAGTGGAGAGGAGCGAAAATTCCCAGAACAAAGACAACAGATGTTTGACCTTGCGTCCATCCATCACTCATTTCCGACTTGATGCACCAACCGCCCCGAGGTATCGCAAAACATGAGAAACAGTAACGCCTTGAACCGACACGACCCAAGAAAAAAAAAAAAGAAAGAA